AAGAGCTCCCCCGATGGGGCAGTGGCTCGTTTTTGGGGGCTGGGGGCATCCGTGGGGGCTTGTTACTGCAGAGACGACAGTAAATATTTGCTGGGAAATGGAAAACTGGGGAGGGGGGGGAGCGCAGCCGTGACTCAGGCGATGAGGCAATGGGGCGACTCCGGCCAGCCGGGCCCCGGGGGCCAGCCCGGCCGAGCAGCAGCTGCACCGTGGGGTGGGGGGGTCCCCCGAACCCCCCCTCCCCCCGGCCTTGCTGTGGGGATGGGCGCTCCGAAATCCCCAGCTTTGCTGTGGGGATGGGAGTGGAGTAGGTGGGCTTTGAACACTAAAAGGCACTGGCCTTGCTATGGGGCTGGGAGTGGGGTTTGGAGCCATGCACCCCAAAACCTTCCATCTTTGCTGTGGGGCTGGGAGCAGGGTGGGAAACTCTGCACCCCAAAACCTGCAGTCCTTGCTGTGGCTCTGGGAGCTGGGTGGGGGGCTCTGCACCCCAAAACCCACTGTCCTTGCTGTGAGGCTGGAAGCAGGGTAGGGGGCTCCGCACCCCTAAACCTTGCTGTGGGGCTGGGGGCAGGTTGGGGGGCTCTGCACCCCAAAACCCCCCATCCTTGGTGTGGCTCTGGGAGCAGGGTGGGGGGCTCTGCATCCCAAACCCCACCATCATTGCTGTGAGGCTGGAAGCAGGGTAGGGGGCTCCGCACCCCTAAACCTTGCTGTGGGGCTGGGGGCAGGTTGGGGGGCTCTACACCCCAACCCCACCATCCTTGCCGTGGGGCTGGGAGCACAGTGGGGAGCTCTGTACCCCTAAACCTTGCTGTGGGGCTGGGAGCAGGTTGGGGGGCCATGTGCCCCTGAACCCCGCTGTGGGGCTGGGAGCAGACTGGGGGGCTCTGCCCCCCTAAACCTCGCTGTGGGGCTGGGAGCAGGGTAGGGAGCTCTGCACCCCAAACCCCACCATCCTTGATGTGGGGCTGGGAACGGGGGGGTGTGTGGGGTTCCGCACCCCAAATCCCACCATCCTTGCCGTGGGGCTGGGAATGCGGTTTAGGGGGACCCTGCACC